TGGGATTAGTTCGTTTGTTATGAAAATTACAGCATAAGTGATAAAGATTTATCTCATCTTCAATAACAACAAAGAAACTCTTTGAATATCTTTAATGCTTCCAGAGTTTAGTATAAGAATCTGTTAATACAAGAGGGCACAAGGATTTCAAGCTTTGGTTGACACCTATAGCCACTTACCTGTGAGTCTGAGTCCTTGAAATATTATGACACAATTGAACAATTCTTGAGATGTTGTGGAGGAAGGAAATTACAGGCTCTACTCATTCCTTAGTGGAAAAACTATGCTTTTTAATATTATTTTATTTAACCTAAGATTTCCTCAAGTTTTGTGTTTTCTGATTTACCTCTGGCTAACAGAATCTTGCTCAAAACTTGAGACTGCTAGCTTTCAGTGGGTAGTTGCTAGTGAAAATCTCTTGGATGTTGATACAGGTGCAGTATGAGACAAACAGTAGAATGTAGCCTTTAAGAAAAGCCTGTTAGACGAAAATGAATGCTAAGAACATTTGCAAGGCTATAAATCTTAACCCATTTGTTGAAGGACAGGCTCTGGTAGCACAGTGCCTAAGGCATTTGACTGCTAACCGGAAGGCTGGCGGTTCAAACCCATCAGCCACTCCTCGGAAAGAAGGTTGGACAATTTACTTCCATAGAGATACTGCCTCAGAAACCCAAGGAGGGGTCGCTGAGTTGGATCTGACTTGATTGAAGTGAGAGGCTCTGGTGTTATCTTGTTACCATGACATTAATCCTTGCTGGATTAATTGTTAAGGAATTCCATTTAAGATATCCAGATTTCCAAATGTTTATACTAATTAGTTGTCATAAAATGCCACGTTCAGTCCCAGGCCTGTGATGCCCTTTATAAGTAAAGTGTCTTTGCCTTTGGCACCAACTGATTTAATGAGTGATTATGTCATAGATTAATTTCTTAAAAACAACATAGAGATTTTTTTTTCTGTAACACTGAATGTAACGTGGTGTTATTCATTAATGTTGTTTAAACTGCTGTTAAGTCAGTTCCTACTCATGGTGGCCCTGAGTGCACAGAACTGCCATCGGGTTTTCAAGGCTGTGACCTTTTGGAAGCGGATCACCAGGCCTGTCTTCCAAGGTCTCACTGGGTGGGTTTGAATCACCCACTTTACAGTTAGTAGTCCACTGCTTAACCATCTGTGCCACCCAGGCATTCCTGCTATGTGGTTATTTAAAAAACAAAACAAACTGCTGTCAAGTCGGATCTGACTCATAGTGACCCCTCCTTGGGTTTCCAAGGCAGGATCACTATGGAAGTAGACTGCCCCATCTTCCTTCTGAGTGGCTGGTGGGTGTGAACCGCCAGCCTTCTGGTTAGCAGTCAAGTGCCTTAGGCACTATGCCACCAGAGCTGTTAGTGCTCTTTAATTCTCCTCACTTTCTCAAAACCAATGAAACAAGGAAGCTCAAACCCGTTAACTCTGCAAGTTAATCACCAAGACACATCAATGTCTGAGGTTATCAGCAGTGTAGGATCAGATATTTAATAGATTAAAGGCTCTGACATTAAAGGAACTTGACTGCAAATAATTTTTCATTTCTAAACTTCCTATAAATAAGCAGAGTTTTGTATAAGGGAGTAACTTTATTTTTAAAAAGTCTTGATATTAAAGGTGCTTTATTCTCAAAACTACACAGCCCGTCCTTCATCCCTCCATAGTTCCTGCCTCCTGGACACTAGCCTCATCCTCAGCACACCTTCCAGCAGACATCTCTGTCTCCTTGATGGTTCAAAATTGTTTCTGTGATATCCTAAGTAACAGCCATGTTAGGGCATAATTAGAGTTAAGCAATAAACAAATACAAACACGTAAAATGTTTATTGAATGAACACAGTCTATTTATTTGAGAGAATATATGCAAATTAAAGTTCCATCAAAGTAATGAGAAAAGATTACATTGATAATGCCACTTTAAAAAAAATCTGAGAATGACAGGTAATTATGGATGGTATCTATGGCATATATTGTATTTGGGAAAGGAAAAGTATACAAATTGAGATCCTCAGCTGAAAAAACTATTAGGTTAAAAAAATTACTTATTTTCTTTGAATTATATTTTCTGGGAAGAAAACTAGCACTGTAGAGCCATTTAATGACAACTGGTGATTCAACTGGGGACTGAGATACCCATACACATGTACGTAACATGATAAACTTTCGATTGAAAATATTAACTTAATGTGTATAGGAAATTATGTTTCACAAATACTGCTGTTTAAAGTAATACTCAATAGAGTGTTTAAATCAAACACTGACATTATAGTCAAGCCAGAACAACTTTACCATTTTCACATGTAAGTGGGTATAATGATATTTAATTTCTGAACACATTTCACGTCACAAAGTAAAAGCAAATTTCCATTTGTGTGGTTTTTAGTATAGTTCACATATGTAACTCCTTTTGGGTAATATATGTCTGCTCAAACAAATTAATATTAATGGGTGTTATTCCCTCAAAACAAATGTGTTTGCCTCTGTATTCTAGGAAAATAAAATGACCATAGAGATGTAACTGCAATTTAATTTCCTAGGGTTTAAGGACCCCTCGCAGGGAAGGTTGGACAATCTCCTTCCATAGAGACACCACCCCGGAAACCCGAGGAGAGGGTGCTCTGAGTCAGTCTGACGTGACGGCACCTAACAAAACAAAGTAAGCATCTCTATTTCTGCTATCATGCAAATATTTTTCTTACAACTTAAAAGTTTTGTGTTAGGAATATCTTTAGTAAGGGATAGTTTAATAAAGGATCTTAACTGTTCAATAAAGAGTATTAACATTTTACTAAGCAAAAGATATTTGGTTCCCTTCCCACAAAAGCCAAACAGAAAACAGTGTTACTAACGTTTTCTATTTATTTATTAATAAAAAGTGCATAGTACAAGCCCTTTATCCCAATCCAAGTACTCAGGAAAATATTAACAATAAACCCTGGATGGCACACACATGATTTGTTTGGCATGATTTAAACATTTAAAAACAGCAATTAACATTTAGTATATCACATGAACACTTTTGCTTTTAACAAAGTAATCAGCAGACATGATAACAAATACATAGGATTTTTCATTTAGAAATAGTATAATGTTAAGACTAAATCTACTATTGCAACAACAAAATTTAATCATAACTGTAAACTCTTCATTTTTCCTTCTTCAAGTTGCTGTTTGTGTCTTAAGCTGAGCTGATCAAATTTTAGCACATATTCAAGTGACAGACTTTCAGAGTTATAGGCTCTCATGGTTCTTTTGAAAATGTAAGATATTTATAATTCCATAAACACTATCACATCATATTACTTCAAACACATTTAAAGTAACCATGGATAGCTGTACTCAATACTTACTTCAGAAAATCTCTGCAAATTATAAAATATGACTTGCTGACCATGGGCTAATGGTTGGATAGCTACATGAGAACATCTGTTGCTATAAACGTTTCCAATGTTAACTTTTTCCATATGGAAAGCAAAAAATATTATTTTGCATAAAAGAACATTAAGTAACTCTAAAACAAAATAAACTCTCAATGGCATTTGTGAATGTTTAAGAGCCAAAGGTAATTAAACTATGGAGTTTTATCTTTCTTTTTTCCCAGATTATTTTAAAAGGATTGTAGCCGTGGTTCAGGTGAATATGTGTAAGCCAAATAATGATTTAATAATGTGCTCGATAAAAAGGCCACATGTAGAAGTTTTAGGAATTAAATGGAATAATATAAGTTATTATTTAGGTTAATAAGGATACTTTATGTGCAGTACACTATCTTTTTCAGGAATGCAGAGAAATGTTACCAGTTTAAAAAAAAGAAAAAGCATAAACCTAAATACTTTACTAAGAACTTTTGTTACTAAGCAAATAGGTCCACATAGGAAACGGCTGAAATCCTAGATAAAATGTAATTAAGTGGATGCAACAGAAATGAAGATCTAGGAGTAAATCCAGGTTTTCTGTTTCCATATTATGGCTGTTTCTTAAACCAGAGTGACTTCTCAGTTATTTGTGAGCTATAGATTCAGTAGAGGTTGGCTTTCTAGCAGCTTAGACTGTTACAAGGGCAAGCCTTCAAAGTTCAGAGGGCAAAGGCAGAAAAATAGAATGCTATTGGGATTTAGCCCCATTTGATGTCGCTCCTTTCCTTTCTGACTTAAATACACGTTACCAGCTATGGAGCTGGGAGGTCTTCCAGTAGGCACAGCAAGAAAAACCTTTGTCCTGTCATGTTCATTCATCCAGGATCTGACTTACCTGTGTTAGGTCACCACTACTCAATTAGCACAAGTAATTAAGAGTTGAATATATTATTTCAAGAAGCTGAGCACAAAGCCAAGATACACAAGGAGGAAGGAAGCAGTCAGTATTGGATTATGTACTGAAATGATGCCCTGTGGGCACAGAATGTGATCACAGAAAAGGAGAAAAGAAATCCAGGAGTATATGTCAGAAACTCTATTAAACAGTACAACGATATAGAGAAGTTTATTCACTTCATACAAGTAGTATCTCAGATCTATACAATGAAAAGCTAGAATGATCTAGGGAGAAAAAGTCCTTACATTGATAGCAAAATATCTTCTAGCTCACATAAGTCATCTGCAATCATTTGCTAGGATAAAATTCCATAACTACATAGATCATGCAGACATTTTTTATGCTGTTTGTACTCATTTTTCCAAAATGAGTGAAAACTAGTGCAACCTTTTACTTTTTTATACATTTAAAGACTTTACTTATGTTAATGTTCATCCTTATCCCAATCCATTCCATTCCCAAGTCAGGAACGAGACGGGGTGAGAAAAAGATCCTTGATTCTAATTTTCTTCCTTTTCCCTTGGGTAAGCCAAGAATCCATTAAGAAATTTCAAAAGTCAAAACAATTAACAAAGGACTCAACTTTTTTTCTTCAGATAAAAAAATAGAGTAAATAAGTAATAGGCATTCAAATGTCAGTAAGCCAAGAGGCCCCCAGTATAGCTTTAAAAGAGTTTCATTCTAACAGCGAAGTGTTAGACAGACAAAAAGCTTCCTGAGAGGCACTAGTTTTAACAATAAATTATAGCTTAAATTATTACTGCATCGATTATACCTGGCAAAGGCAGAAAGAGTTAATTTTTCTCCTCCTTTCATGAACCCTCATAAGGCTAGTGTACAGTGGATCACAAGTGTCATATAATGGACTGTTAACATCCACCATATTGATCAATCATGTTTGTTTAAAGTTTTCTTAACATTTTTTAATGGGAGTAAAAAACTCAGTAAGCAACCATTTCATTTCTTCTCCCATACTAGTCATATAAGCCAGTTGTAGTGGATGGTATAGATTTCAGCTAAAACCTGTAAAATACTCAAAAGGCTGCCACAGTCCTAAGAAGAGCAAATAGGCATCCACAAATGAACTATCATGGTAACTGTAAATACAGTATGGGTCTGTATTTTCTTTCATACAATCTCAGACAAGCCCAAACAACTTTATAAATATCTTGTTCAAAAAAGCAATTTTAAAGCCTATCAAAACTATTTAAAATATTTAAATGCAGAGATCTCAAATTTCCTTCAATCAAGCCAGAAATCATCACAAAAATTAAGATACATTTAAAGAGGATGAGTGGAATGTTTAGGTTCAGGATCCAAAAAAAGCCCCATGTAACTTTTTTAATATCATTTACTCAAATATACTGTAAATAGGAATGGTGGTAACACAGGAAGCAAAAATAAGCTCGCAAGTGAAATTTCTAAAAGCTCATGAAAACAGTATCATCCCATATTGCAGATGCAAAAGGAAGAACAGTTCTACTGGGGTTAAGAGTACTCTGGTCGCCTTCGTTCATTTGGTCGTGCAAGGTCTTTAGCTATTTTCACTTCCCATATCACAAAGTTAGTCCACAGGAGGGGCTGGTGGATCTTGTCCCTGGCATTAGAAAGAGATAAATTACGTGACTGACGTTTTCATTCCCAGTGCAACCAATCTAACACACATAAGAATGGGAAGCAGTGTCTCCCACCTTCCCATCCCAAACTGTATTTATTTGGATTTTTCATACATTTTTGCATAAGGGAACAGTGGGTTAATGCTATGGTTATACAAATTTGTCCCATTCATCCCTGTGGCATCAAATAAAAAGAAATTATTTAACAGTGATAAGACATCTCTCCCTGCCAGCTCTAGGGGTGGCCTTTAAACCAATCCCTCTTGCGTAAGTGAAAAGCTGAGTAGTCTAATTAAAGTAAAGCTAGGGACTTTTGTTGGATTCTCATAAAAGAACGTCAATGAGAAAGCATGTGGCTCCAGCTGATTGAAGCCATCGTGTGATGACAAGGGGAGCCCACTTTGGAATGAAGCTGAGAGATAAGGAAACACAATGAGTCTCTGATGATACTGTTAAACTGGCTGAATCAATCATTCCAAACATCTACATACTACCTCCGGATTTTTCGATCATATAAACCAATAAAGCCACTTATTGTTTCAACTAATCCGAACTTGGTTTGGTTACTCACAAAAAGAAAGCATCGTAACTGTAAAGGAAAGTAAAGAGATTTTAGGAATCTTAAGGAAAGTTCTATTTATTTACCCAGACATACTATGTAAGTTCCTACTTTTCCTATTTGAAATTGAGTCAATACATTTTCTTGCCTGTTCCTAGGGCAGTAGGACTAGTCTTACAACCACTGGTTTGCAATAAACAAAGGTCCAGGACTATTATCTTGCATTTCTGTCACCTTTAATGGGTTATAAATCAACTTCTTAACTGAATTTCTTTAGCTCCATACATTAAGGAAGTTGCTCTTGGATATGAAAGCAATGAAGGTGTATATAACCAGTTGCCACTGAGCCAGTTCTGACTCATGGTGACCTCCTGTGTATCAGAGGAAGATCATGCTCTGCAGGCTTTCAAGGGCTGATTTTTCTGAAGCAGACTGCTAGGAATGTCTTCTGAGGCCCTTCTGGGTGGATTCGAACCTCCAACCTTTAGGTTAGCAGCCAAGTACATTAACCATGTACACCACCCCAAGAACCCCAAAACTGTGGATTGAAAGTGAGAAAAAAGCTAAGGAAGAAACTTTTTTTTTTTTTTTACCAATATAAATAGTTTTTTATTTAATTTTATTTTTCTCTTTTTTTTCTTTATTGTGATTTGGGTGAAGATTTACAGAGCAAATTCACTTTCCATATAGCAATTTACATATACTTTGTCTCAT